ATTTTACCCATTCAGTGGATTCATTCTATTAGCTTTAAAATATGCTCAAGTCATGTTTTTGAAAAGGAAAACACTAAAGTAATGAAATATCAACATCCTTCTACTCAAAGTTCTCCTATACTGCCAGTCTCTTTTCTTCCCCCTTCACAACAATTTGTGTGTATGTATGTGGTAGTGGGGATCAACCCCAGGACCTCCAGCATGCTAGGCAATCATTCTACCACTGAACTACACCTCTAGCTCACAACTTTTTAGAAGAGTTGTTTGATCTTCACTTCCTACTGACTTTTACTCATTCCTATTTGGCTTTCACCTTCATTGATCTACCAAACAATGTTTACTAGTGCTTATTGATTTCTACGTAAGGAAATTAGCTCTTTGTTCATGACATTAATTTCAAGAATGATTTCTCAGTCTGATCTTTTTTATATATAATTTTTTAGTTGTAGGTGGACACAATAACTTTATTTCATTTATATGTGGTGCTGAGGACAGAACATGGGGCCTCACATGTGCTAGGCGAGCACTCCACCGCTGAGCCACAACCCCAGCCCTGATCTTTTTCTTTTGATTTTGCTTAGATTGATTCTTGATTTGTGGTTTTATAAACATCTGTATCATCCATTGTTCCAGTCATTTTTTGTTTTTTGCTTTTTTAAGACTGCTGAGTTTGTGGCATAATTAGAAAGTTCACTTCTTCTTTGAGATTAAAATAAATTATGGTTTGGTAAAATCACCTTCTCTTATAGCATTTTGTATATGAGTACACACAGAGTTTACATTTGTAATTTTATCTCTTTTGATAGAAGGAGATTAGGGAAAATGGTGAATGTGGATGGTATGCACATTCAGTACTAATAGAATTCATATAGGTTGGATTAGGAATCCACTGTTTTCTTTTTTTTTTAATTAAATCATTTTTATTTATTTATTTTTAAAAAATATTTATTTATTTATTTATTTTTTTAGTTTTCCAGCGGACACAACATCTTTGTTTGTGTGTGGCGCTGAGGATTGAACCCGGGCAGTATGAAAACTCATGGAGCTGTAGTAGTGTAATGCTATATACAAGATAAAATTGATTAGTAATCTCCAGATTAGTAATACAGAAATAGAGACCTAGGACATACAGCTCTGGATAACTGAGTAAAAGCCTTATCAAATAAAGACTGCTGATAGCAATTTAATGACATGCCTTAGATTTAAAAAAAATTGCTTTATTAAGACAAAATCTTTTTAAACCAGTACCAACATGTCAATTGAGTCCCCCAAAAGTAATGAATGAAAATACTAAAGTGGAATTTTACTGTCTTCAATCATAACTATAACCACCAAGTACAGGTAACATGAAAAGGCACTTGATGCTGGACACCAGATTTCAAAAATGTTAACATGTCACTTTTCTTGTTCCAATATGATTACTCACACACTCTGTCTTCTTTGATAAATACCTCAGAGATTTGTGTGTTCTCTCTCTCCCTAAGGACATACCAAGCACATGTGTACTTTCTACTTCTTTTCCTATTGTTGTGGTGTGAACTGATAAATACAATCAATAAGAGTGTAAGTTATAGGTTATAGATTAGTAAAAAATATAGATTATATAAGATTTTGAAAAGTGAGATAAGACAATTATAAAGCAAGAACTCTCATAGACAGGCCTAAGACTCCATTTTGCTGCCTTCTAGAAAAACCTGTTACAAGAGCTGTTTCTGAGAAATTGAAATGAAAGCTATTTTCTTATAAAAAAATTGTCTTTCTGAACTTTGTACCCCACAAATCGCACTCTACTCAGGATGCAGCCGTGGTTTGGTTGTGGTGAGCTACATCCTGAGTGTGAATGCCCTTGTGGGTCTATACGATTTTGAAGTAGATTCTCACCCCGCCCACTCCCCACCCAAGTTCAGAATGTGACTGTCTAGCACCTGCTTGAACCCAGGACTGTGGTCAACTGAAATGCAAAGCTAATGCTATTTTAGCTTCTGATTATCACTTGTTTGCTGACTGGAGAATTCCAGTCCTGCCTAGAGCCCACAGGTCCCACTTATTAATGTTTTAATTTCTATGATTGGCTAGTTTACATGACAATAAGCAAGTCACTGAGTTGTGGTTTTTGTGCTTTATATTCTCTTTGGATGGACAAGGAAGCTGCTGTCCTCTCACAGAGCTTGAGTCTCTGTGGTGGGTGACAGTCTCTGGCCAGGTAAATAAAGCTCTCTTTTGATTTGAAATTCGGACTTAGAGTGTTCTCTGAGGTGAGGTGTCTCCCCATATCGTTATGTAGGTTTTTTTTTTTTTTTGGTAGCGGGGATTGATCCCAGGGATGCTTAACCACTGAGCCACATCCCTTTTGTAATTTTTAGAGACAGGATCTCACTGAGTTGCTTAGGGCCTCACTAAGTTGCCAAGGCTGGCTTTGAACTCAACCTCCCCAGCCATTGGGATTACAGGTGTGCCCCACTGCACCTGGCCTTATGCAATTTTAATCTGTGATTAAAAAAATAAGAATATGGGGGGAGCTGGGATTGTGGCTCAGTGGTAGAGCACTTGCCTGGCATGTGTGAGGCACTGGGTTTGATCCTCAGCACCACATCCATAAATAAATAAAATAAAGCTATTATGTCCATCTACAATGAAAAATATTAAACAAACAAATAAAATAACAATATCAGGCTGTGGTTGTAACTTAATAGTAGAGTACTTGCCTAGGATGTTCAAGGCACTGGGTTCAATCCTCACCACCACATAAAAGTAAATAAAATAAAAGAATAAAAATACACAATAACATTAAAAACTGACAACATCAATTTAAGTAGTACTTGTCATTGCCAGAATAAATATTTACTGAAACTGCTTGCATAGCCAGTGCACCGGTTTCCTAATGGCTACTCTGAATTTACACTGTTGGGCTACCAGGAAAAGACAAGTTAAGACGCAGCTCCTAGGAAGGAAACCTCACAAGGGTCTATGTAGAGCAGACAAGAAATGTTTGAGAACAGTGCACTAACTAGCTACATACACCCGCTTGTGGAAAACTCCCTCGTTTCTATTTACTTGAGATATAAAGTCTGCCTAAATTATTTTCTCATAATTTTAATAGGTGAATATGTATTGTAGTAACTTAGTTGAGACAGATGTTTTTTCCTATGGAGTTTTTATCCTACCGAAATTAGCTTTAGTAGGCATAGGTGAGAATCTGCCCTGATTTTAATCTTCAAAATCTTGCCCTGCTTGGTGGCACACACTGTAATCCCAGCGACTAGGAGGCTGAGACAGAAGGATGGCAGGTTCCAAACCAAATTCAGCAATTTAGCGAACTGTAAGCAACCTAGCAAGACTCTGTCTCAAAATAAAATATTATAAAGAGCTTGGGTTCAATCCTTCCTTAGAAATTAGTACATACAGCTGGGGAGGCTGAGACAGGAGGATCGCACACGTTCAAAGCCATCTTTAGCAGATTAGCGAGGCACTTAGCAACTCAGTGAAACCCTGTCTCTAAATAAAACACAAAATAGGGCTGGGGATGTGGTTCAGTGGCCCAGTGCCCCTGAGTTCAATCCCTGGTACTCAAAAAAAAAAAAAAAAAAAAAGAAAAAAAGAAATCGGTAACACAGTTTTATTATACAAAACACCGCATAAAAGGCATTCAGCACAGAATACACAGAATTATTGTGTATAATACATAAATACAGATATCTCTAAACTATATGTGCTATAACATTCTTTGACAGAAATTTCAAATCCAGAGGTGGAAGTTGTCTGGATTTTGAAGCCGCTGAAACTGCGAAATTTCAGTAAAAATAATGTTAAATGTAACCTCGAATTAAATTTAAGGCACATTTACTAAGAACGTGTCTTATGCAGAGCATTGTGCTAAGTCCTATGGAGACAGGAGTTACTAAAAATTTCTTTCTGAAACCTGGGCGCACCGAAAGGGTAGCGAATAGCGAGTGCCAGAGGTCTTGGGCCAAAGCCTGGAGCCTCCCGAAGGTGACACCTGAAAGGTGGTGGTGAAGCTCTGGGAAGGGGTCGCTTCTCCACAAGCGCATCGCGTCGAGGGCGCGCTCCAGGTCCCTCTAAGGGAGCAGCCCGCCCTGCCAAGGCGAAATGCCCCTAGGCTCACTACCTACCCCAAACTGGGGTCACTACCCAGGACGCGAGCAGACTACACACTCGCAGTAAACAGGTTCTTACGCGGGTGTTCTTTCCTGGTTGCAGGCACTGCTGGACGCTGAGGTGAGAGCGCTGTGATGTGTGGAGTCAAAAAATCCTACCATCAGATGCCCCAAGAAGGACATTCTACGGGCAGTTGTCTTCCTCGAGCTATTGTGTCGCTCTTTATCAGGTCCCGGGAGGGCGTTAGGACAAAAGGAACCCCCCTCCCTTCTGGTTAATCAGGCTTCTGGTCGGGTGCGAGTGCCAGCCCTGCTGCATCCTTGCCTCTGAAGCTACGGAAGCCACCGGACTAGGGATCAGTCCTTAAAGCTTGAGACTCGGCTGCTAAAGCTTAGCTCCGAATAGGTGGGCCCGGACACACTGGGGCCCGCATCCCACAATCCCCGCGCTGAAAGCGGTGCTGCTTGGTTGCGTTCCGACTGACTGCAGCACGCGGGCGGCGAGCGCGAGCCCGGCGCCTTGACAGCTGCCCACGCGTCGGGGCGGGGCTCGGGCACGTTGCTTTAAAGGTCCGCGCAGTCGGCCCCGCCCTCGTGCGGTGATTGGCTCCAGCCGGTGCAGCGTTTACCCGGTAGGTACTGGGAAGGCGGGGCTGCGCGCGCGAGGCTCGGGCCCTCACTGCAGTTGCCCCGACTGGGCGCCTGTGGCGGCAAAGTGTGGGTGGTTAGGAGTGCGAAGCTGAAGGGCTCGAGCGCGCGCCGGCTGCCCAAGTCCCTAGGGAAGTAGGGGAGCGTCCGACGCCGGCTCGCGCGCGCCACCCCGCGGCCGGCGGCGCGCGCGAGGGCGGAGGTTGTCCGTGCGTGTGAGCGCGCGCGCGCGCGCGTGTGTGTGTGTGTTTGGAGCACCGGTGCAGAGGGCCAGCCGTCAGTCCCTGGGTGCGAATCCCTTGCTGTCTTCCACACCATCCCGCTTCCCCTACGTCCCTCCCTCAGCCCCACGGTCGCGCACGCAGCGACGGCCCCGGGAAACAGGTGTGGGGGGCGTGCGGGGTCGCTCGAGACAAAGGGGGCACGGGGGTGAGCCCGCCATGGCCTCCCGGAGCTTGGGGGGCCTGAGCGGGAGCCGCGGCAGTAGCGGCGTCTGCAAGAAGAGCCTGAGCGCCCGCAATGCTGCGGTGGAGAGGAGGAACCTGATCACGGTGTGCAGGTAGGCGGCCGGGGCGAGGGGAAGGGGCTTGCTGGCGCCGAGGGCCGAGGGCTCTGAGCAGGCACGCGAGTCCCCGGGGGGTCCTGGGGCTGAGGGGCGGTGGTCCCAGCGTCGCTGTCTTTTCTGTGCCGGCCATGTCCGGCGGCGTCCAGGGGCCAGGAGAGGAGCTGGTGTCTGGGCACTGCCGAGGCCCCGGACTTTCCATCAGTTCTCGTGCTGAAGGCGACCGCGGGTAGGGCTTGGGGCGGGGCCGGGGAGGATTTGTTTTGAACGTGCAGTCTAGTGTCAGAGTGAAAGAGGAGGGTAAGGAGGAAGAGCTCTTTAATTTAGTGCACATTAAGCTGTCAGCCAGCTTCTGGTAAAGTAGTTGCTGTGATTGTTTATTGTGTTGCCTCAAAATCGGAGCTCATTTTGGCTTTTTTACATATATCTTCACTCCTTCCATCCCACAAATATCGAGTGCCTACTGCATTGTGTGTTCGTGGGTAGGTACTTATAACTATAGTGCTAGGGCTGTTTGTGCACTACCAGAAGAGTGGGACGATGGAGGATACCTAGTCTTCATGTCAATGATTTATTCCCAGGTCTGCCCTTCCTTAAACGTTTTCTAATTACGAATGTAGATTTCCCTTCCACTAGAAATGTAACACAAAAGGGATAATTATTATCTAGTAGCCTAATATTCAGAAAAAACTGATTTTAATATGCTGATATATTTTAAGTTGTTTTTAAAATTACGTTGTTCCATTAAACCCTAATCAGCAGCCAGCAATAATCCTCACAGAATTGGATGATGAAACCTTTTCCTCCTTCTTAATTTATATCTGTACTTAAAAAAAAATCCTCGTGTTAAAAAATGTGCCTAGCATCTTAAGCAGAATACAGGTTATTGTATTAGGAGTTATATTCAATAACTTTGAGTGACTTTAAAAGTTGGGCTGTTATAAATATTCATCTATCTAGCAAGAAGATCTGTCTCACTGACAGTTGTGGCATTTAGAATTGTAAATAGTAAAATAATATGGAATATTTGTCATTTTTACTGTGTAGGATACAACTTTTGAGAGAGGCTTTATTTAATTCTCTTAAAATGAAGCAAATATTTTTTAAAGTTAGTTAAATAGAACATTATAAGTTAGGTGGATTTTCTTACCTTTATTTTACAGATATTAAAAAGATGTTTTAAAATGAGGATAGTTCCAAGTCAGGTTCAATTATGTACAATGCTTGAAGTAATATATTTCATAAAAGATCCATCATAGTTAAATTTCACAAGGCAGTGGTGTCATCTGCTTTTTGCTTATTAGTCTTTTATAATTCTTCCCAGTATAGCATCTAACAGTCAATATTTATTGAATGAATAAATTCAGTGGTGAATACTACTCATTTTATTTCTCCATTTTAATCTTCACTGGTTTTAGATCATTTGCTGTTCATTTGTGTCCTCATCAGGGTCAGTTTAGTAAAAGAAAGGAATCTGTATTTCAACCTTATTTAAATTAAATTTTCAGCTATGTTTGAGAAATTTCAGTAACATCATTAATGTATGTGTATGTTTAACTAGGCTAGTTGTATTTTCATTAATTTTATTTATATATTTTCTACTTTGAAATTAATGTAAATGCTGACTTTAATTACAGTTTATACACACATTTAATATAGTAGCGGAAATAAATTTCAATTTCTGGCTTACATTTCAATCTGTGTAGTTATTTAGTTGATGGTACATATAAGTTATCTATATCTAGTAATGGTGTCTATTGGATAGGCTTTATCTAAATAACTTTTACTTTTTGGAAAAAAGTAATTATGGGCCATTTGTAGGTTTTAATAGACCCACCCCAATTCAGCAAAATGAACAAAGTAGTATTATGCATTTATGCTGCTTTGGTTTAACTTTGAAAGTTATTAAATTTCACCCATGGCTTTTAACGAGTTCACTCTTTATATCTCAAATCAGAAATGACTTGATATTTAAGTTGGGAAGAAGTTGGTTTAGTGGAAATACAATTGGGTTCCAAGTTGATTTCTTCATTAGCAAACATGTACTTTAACAAGTCCTGCAACCTTCCTATTTTCTGGTTTTGTCATCTGTAAAATAATATTGAACTAGATTATTGGTAACTTGCAGTGATAGTCCTGAAATTAATAATAGCCCTTAAACAAAATATGCTCATATTTTACTTATTTCAAATATGAGCAGGGTCATAGTATTGATAGGTATGTGTTTATAGCAGTCAGGTGAGGCATGTGCATTTTTTTTTTGTAAACAAAAACACTTTGAATCTTCTATTTTGTGATTGCTGATATTCTGGGATAATTGAACAATTTATGAAACAAAAACAAGCAAAACGCAAACCCCACTGCCACATATCATACTTAAACAATAATGCTTTTTCCTTAACCCTTAAACAATTGAGGTGTAAAGCCCTGTGAAATAAGTACACTATTCTTTAGGTTTAAAACTTTATAAGAGGACGATATTATTACAGTTTAGCACTTTGGAAATAGCCTGTTTGGTTAAGTAGGACAGTCAAGGAAAAAAGCTGAACTGAATTTTGGCTCATTGTGATTGTGTATATATGTAATTATTTCATTACTTTTTTTCCCCTAGTGCACAGTATTGCATATTGTAGACTTAAAATGTCTGTATGGTTCTTATCTCAGCAAATAAGTACAGTTTTATTTATACTTTTTCACAGATTGTGGTGAAGAAAAAGTAGATAATTTGAAGACTTTTCCACACTCAATTCCAAAATATTCATAGACTGACTTTGGCTCTCTGCACGAACTACTATTTTCCCTGCACATTAGCACATTGAAAAACTAAATTGTTAAAACTTTTCAGACTTTTTTTAACTTACATTTTTCATCCATAGAAAATCAGACAGTCATTTTTTGTTGTTTTTAAGCTTAATGGTTTACTAAAAAGCTGAAATATTACTTTGATTTTAGTTCTTTTGGCAAATAATTAAAATCTAAATTCTCTTTCAATGGATTAGCAATGTTTATGAGCAGATTATTAAAATATACGTGTTTAATAATTTGCATAAACATTTAAAAATAACATTTGTCTCAGTTTTTAATCAATACTTAAGAGATAGGTCCCCCAATTGTCATAATTTTCCTGTCTTTTAGATAGAAAGAACTAAGAGGAATTTAGGGAGATAGTAGGATGAGTTAAGCAAGGTAGAGACAGATGTTGATTTCACAATTAAAATACTTTTAATAACATATACATAGGTCAAGATTGTATTTCAGGACTTGAATATTATTTCAAATTAGATTAGCACCTCATTTTTTTTTTTACTGTAGTCATGGAGTAAAGAACCTGTATTATTTGAAACTAGTGTTTGAATTAAGCTTAATATTGTACCATCAACTGTAGTGTCTTACTCAGCATTTATTGTAAATGTAGTCTTCTGTATAACTGAAGCTGTAATTTAAGTGCTCACATTTAAACCACAATAAACAATACTTAAAACACTTTGAATAAATTGCTTTTAAAAAAGGACTGTACATTTCCCTACCTTCTTTAACAAGATTATGCATGACATAATAGCTTACTGATAACTTTATTCTGGACATGTTTCTATGAATATGCTCACTGTACAATGATTGCCCTTTGAGACTCTTGAGGTCCCTAGAGGTTTTTGCTAAATGGCCCCTTAAGATTGTGTCTTTGGTGTTCTTTGTTTTTACAGGCTGCTATTTCTTCCTACCAAGGTAGCTGTTATTTCTTACAACTGTTTCTAGCAGCTCTTTCTTTGCACTTCTCATTTTGACTTGCTGATTATAACTGTGAGCTAGGAGAGCAGATAACTAAATTTCTAATGTGTATGTTCTTTAAAAAAAAAAGCGCAGAGCTTTGAGTGAATTTGAGCAATTTAAACTTCTCAACATTCTGGTTGCTGAACAATCAGAAAAATGTCTGTCGCTGTATTTGAACTTGCTGGGAGAGATGCAAATATGTGAAATATTATTGAATATTATTAGCAGCTTAATCCTTTAAATAACTATAAATGCAGTTACTTGTTTTTCTTGTTACTGTTTGCTTGAGTGTTCTTAAGACTGTTCATATCTTGACTATAATCATTAAAATACTTTTTTTGGCAGTAGTAGGGATTGAATCCAGGAGCAAGTATTCTACGGTTGAGCTATACCTCCAGCCCTTTTGTTTTAAGACAAGTCTCATTAAGTTGCCCAGACTAGCCTTGAATTTGCAGTCCTCCAGTCTCAGTATCCCTGATAGCAGGAATTAACAGCCGTGTGCTACTGCACCCAGCTTGATTATAATACTTTTGACTAAAGTTTTGTTAGTCATGCTGTATGAAGTAGAACTTTGGGTTGGGACTTTGATCAGCATTAGGTATATTGCTTTGGAGCAAGTTTGGTAAGTTTAAGAATTCTTAGTACCCTACTGGTAGGTGCTTAACATGGAGATACTCTTTTTAGTTGCTGGTTCTAGGTAGACTTTTCAGCACTCACAAAAAATCATCATCTTTTCCTGCAGCTAAACTGGTTTCAGATTAAGTGACAACAGAAAAGAGCTATCTCCCAGGCATTTACTAGGGGGTATTTGTTTTAACTTTGTGGCTGCTGGATAAATGTCAAAAGTGGAGTTAAGAGATTCAATAATCACAGGGGAATGTGTGAGGCTTATCCACTCTTCTGTTCACTCTTACAGGTTTATAAAATTTACTTCTGGGTCAGTCCAAATCATCTTAGAACAGCTGAGTTTGTACACTGTGTTGCTCCTTGCTGTGCTATCCCCATGTTATCTATTTTGTATTAGTAAAATTTCATCAGTGAAATGATGTATGTTGAGGTGTGTTGAGAGTCATCAGAAGAAGCAATCAGAGAGTCTTCTTGAACTTACTATCAAGAACACTGTTATGTCAAAAAGTAGCTACTTTGGGTGAAGACTTCTGTGAGAAATATCTGTGTTAGCACCAACAATTGTATTACTAAGCAATTAATTTTCTTGTATCTACTGACAC